AGTGTGGAAAAACCTTGTGCTGGCATCCCCCTCATTGAGCGAGTTGATCTTGGATTTCAGCTTCCAGAAGTTTTCCTCATTTCTGAGAATGAGGTTCAGCTCGTTGTTTAATTCAGCCTCAAGATTTTGCAGGAAGCTACTGAATTGGTAGCTACCTGACCTTTGGATGCCATTGATTCTGGCTAGGAATCTGTTCGTTTGGTGGAAAATGTTACCAAAGACCTCCTTGTTCCATTTGGTTGCCAGTTTTTTGAATTCATCAATGGATTGAAGGAGGGTGGGCTGGTCCTTGAAGGCCTGGTTGATGATGTTGGGGAAAGAGGGGTGACTAACCCACATAGTTTTAAATCTGAAGGGCCTGGTTGGTTTATTATTAGGGGGCCCTTCCATTTGGATTTTTAAGGGACAGTGATCTGAGTGGGTCCTAGGCAGGTGTAGTACACTTGCCTCAGGGTACTGTTTAATCCAGCCTTCGTTAGCAAAACACCTGTCAATCCTTTCCAGAATTAGAGTATTACAGTTGGTGTATCTTTTATTGGTCCATGTGTATTTGCTACCTTTGTATCCTAGGTCAATAAGATTACACTTATTTATGCAATTCCAGAATTGGTTACTATGGTTAAGATTTATAGGGTTTTCCCCAAACTTATCCCTAGCTTTTAAGACTTCATTGAAGTCTCCACCAATGAACCAGCTTTCACTGGTGGTTTCTGCTATAGTTATTAGCTGCTCCCATAGGAGTTTTCTTTCAGAGAGGATGTTACTAGCATAAATAGCAGAGAAAAACCAGGGAGATTGGTCAGGTCTTACATTCACCATTGCGTGGATTCCTTGGGGGGTAGTGGCCACTTCCTCCACAACTACCAGGTCCTCTTTCCACACGAATACAATTCCCCCAGACAAGCCCACTGCTGGAGATTGAATTATCATATTGAAGTCCAGGGTTTGAGCTAGTGCCTGGTGGTCAGCCATCTTGGTTTCTAGCAGGACTAGCATTACCGTCCTATGCATCTTGACCATTTCAAGGCAGTGCCTTTTGANTTGCCAGTACATCAGCTACCCTGTTTTGCTCCCTGTAGGTGTGCCTCACCTCCACTCTGCCCATTCTCTGGATCAGCGACCTGCATTCACAAATTAGAGGGTCAAATATTGAATTGCCATTAATCAGCATATTGATTGTTTCTGAAGAGTCAGTGTCTATTTCCAGCGGCAGAAGGTTATTCAGTTCCGCTAGTTGTAGATCTCTGATGAGTGCTCTGATTTCTGCCCTTATGTTTGTTGTGTGGGGTATGTTTTCCATGTATCCTAAAATCCAATTTCCATTGTGGTTTCTGAAAACTCCCCCTATTCCCCCCCCCCCACATTCCTGGATTTCCTTTAGCTGCACCATCTGTGTTTAGTTTATAGGAGTCCCTTAGTGGTGGAGTCCACTTTAGCATTACTTGGTGCTTGTACTTTGCTTGTTTGTTGTTATTCATCACACATAACTCAGTTGCTTTTGCAATTGTGTTGTTAGCATTAATAGGGTCCTTTTTGTTGTTAAAGACATTGTTGTTCCTGGTCAACCAAAGAGGCAGTATGGCATGAGGTTGCCCCAATTGAGGCATGCATTGTACTTAATGTCTTTGATTTTATTCACAACTGATATCCAAGGAAGGCCATTAAGGCTTAGGTTGGATGGAGGAGGTGTTGTTGCTTTTGATTGAATTGTATGCCAAAACTGAACAACGTTTGGACATTGGGAGAAGATATGGTCAATGTCCTCATTTTCGAATCCACAAAAGTGGCATTGTTGTGGACAGTCCAGTCCAATAGAGTGGAGGAAACTTCTGGTTGGCAGTCTTCTTTGAGTTAAGAGCCAGATGAAGTGTTTTATTTTGTTTGGAGTGTGAAGCTTCCAGATTCCTCTGAATTGCTCCTCCCTATCAGTAGAGATAGCCTGAGTTTTCCTGCTTAAAAAGGAGTAAGCAGTGTTGTTGGAGAATTGGCCATTGGCAGTGAGGTCCCAGATTAGGTTGTCCTCTTTTGTGGCAACACTTGGAATGAATATAGAGTTAAGGAGGTTTAGGATATGAGGGGGGAGATCAAATGACAAGATTGAGGTGTTCCAGGTGCCCAAATGGTGGATTGAATCGACCTTAATGGTAAGGTCATTCTGAGTTTGAGGGCCTTGAATCAATTGCCTTAGAGCTGGCTGGTTAGGGATCCATTTGTCATTTAAGAAGTTAACCCTATTCCCTCTATTAACTACCCATCTACTGGCTTTGGTACAAGTCTCCCAGCTCTTCAGTAATCCCTTCCAAATTGGTGATTTATGTGTTCTAAGGTGTCCCAAGCCTTGTGCAGGTCTGGACATGTTACAGTGCTTGTGGATCAGAACTCTGGCCCAGAGGCTGTTAGTATTCTTGTAGGCTCTCCATGCTAGGTTTGCTAGAGCAGCTTTGTTTTCAAGGCAAGCTTTCTGTAATCCTAACCCTCCCTCTGGTTTTATTTGAGTAACTATATTCCACTTAATCAAGTGGAGTTTCTTTTTTTCAGGGGTGGTGCCCCAGAGGAAGTTCCTTTGAATTTTTTCAATTTGATTAGTTACTTTGGTGGGGAGGGAGATGTATTGCATGACATGTCTTGGGATACTGTTTAGAGTTGTCTTTGCCGGCACTGTTCTCCCAGCCATATTGAGGTATTTAGTTTTCCAGCCTGCCAGTTTAGATTGCATATTGTCAATGATGAATTGGAAATCTGAGGTTGTCTGTCTTCTGTGGAAAATGGGGAAACCAAGGTATTTCCCAAAGGAGGTAGAGTGTTTGATGAATAGCATGTTGGTGAGTTGTTGGGATGTATCCTGGGTTGTATTGGAAGAGAAAAGGACTCTTGATTTGGATACGTTTATTTTTTGCCCTGACTGGTTATTGAAGCTCTGTAAGATGGACATTATGGTGTTACAGTTCCTAATGTTGCCTTTAGCAAAGAGAGTAAGGTCATCTGGGATATCTTGGGTCCTGACCTACTTATACTAATGGGTTGCCATTGGTTCTGCATGACTGCTTGGTCAATGGATCTTGAGAGCCTTTCCATACACAGTATGAATAGATAGGGGGACATTTGGGTCTCCCTGTCTGATGCCTCTTGAAGGATTGAAAGCTTCAGTTTTACCTCCGTTGACAAGGATGGAGATGGATGAGGTGCTTATACAGGACATGATTATATTGGATAGTCTCTTGGGGAAGTTGAAGGCTTCTAGAGTGTCTCTAATGTAAGACCATTCCAGCCTGTCAAAGGCCTTCTCCAGGTCTACTTTTAGGATCATGCTACCAATCCTTCCTTTCATTTTTTCTGAAATGGTTAATGTATTCCTGGACAATAATGGCATTGTCACAGGCCCTTCTATTGGTTAGGAAGCTTGCTTGGCTTAGGCCTATGATGTGAGTCATAATGGGTTTTATCCTATTCATAATGATCTTGGTGACTATTTTATTAATTGTGTTACAAAGACCAATGGATCTGAAGTTTTTCAGCATTGAAGCTTGGGGAACTTTTGGAATTAGACACAGAAGGGTTTGGTTCATGGTGTTGTCCATGGAACAAGTGTTAAAGCATTTCATGCAAAATTGTGACACAGATTCCCCCACAATGTCCCAGTATTTTTGGTAGAAGAAGGGGTGGAGGCCATCAAGGCCAGGTGATTTGAATGGTTTATTGGAGAAGACAACCTTCTTTATTTCAGACATTTGGAGGGGCCTGTCCATAAAGGCCTTGTGGCTTTGGAGCAGTGTAGGCTCCATAGTGGAGTGATTAGTGGTTGCCCAAGGGACTTCAGAGTGGGAGGTCGTGTATAGCTTAGTGAAGAAATCAACAATGGTGGACTGGATCTCTTTTTGATCAGTGATCCAGTTACCATTGTCCTCTTTGAGGTAGAGGATCCTGTTTCTCCTCCTTCTATTTAGGGTAGAAGTGTGGAAGAATCTTGTGCTGGCATCTCCATCATTGAGCCAGTTGATCCTGGATTTCAGCTTCCAGAAGTCTTCCTCATTTTTGAGAATGAGGTTCAGCTCATTGTTTAGCTCAGACTCAAGGTTTTGCAGGAAGCTACTGAATTGGTAGCTAGCTGACCTTTGGATGCCACTGATCCTGGCTAGGAGTCTGTTTTTTTGGTGGAAAATGTTACCAAAGACCTCCTTGTTCCATTTGGTTGCCAGTTTTTTGAATTCATCAATGGATTGAAGGAGGGTGGGCTGGTCCTTGAAGGCCTGGTTGATGATATTGGGGAAAGAGAGGTGACTAACCCACATAGTTTCAAATCGGAGGGGCCTGGTTGGTTTATTACTAAGGGCCCTACCATTTGGATTTTTAAGGGACAGTGGTCTGAGTGGGTCCTAGGAAGGTGTTGTACACTTGCCTCAGGGTACTGTTTAATCCAGCCTTCGTTAGCAAAACACCTGTCAATCCTTTCCAGAATTAGAGTATTACAGTTGGTGTATCTTTTATTGGTCCATGTGTATTTGCTACCTTTGTATCCTAGGTCAATAAGATTACACTTATTTATGCAATTCCAGAATTGGTTACTATGGTTAAGATTTATAGGGTTTTCCCCAAACTTATCCCTAGCTTTTAAGACTTCATTGAAGTCTCCACCAATGAACCAGCTTTCACTGGTGGTTTCTGCTATAGTTATTAGCTGCTCCCATAGGAGTTTTCTTTCAGAGAGGATGTTACTAGCATAAATAGCAGAGAAAAACCAGGGAGATTGGTCAGGTCTTACATTCACCATTGCGTGGATTCCTTGGGGGGTAGTGGCCACTTCCTCCACAACTACCAGGTCCTCTTTCCACACGAATACAATTCCCCCAGACAAGCCCACTGCTGGAGATTGAATTATCATATTGAAGTCCAGGGTTTGAGCTAGTGCCTGGTGGTCAGCCATCTTGGTTTCTAGCAGGACTAGCATTACCGTCCTATGCATCTTGACCATTTCAAGGCAGTGCCTTTTGAATTCAGCACCATTACCCCATAACATTCCATATGATGTAGTTCATCATCAGGGATGTGGGTGCTAGGTTAGATCCCTCTTGAGGGCTCGATGGGCCTGGCAGGCTGGGCAATTGAGGGGGTGGAGACTTCCTTTTTAGACTCAGGATAGGGGTTAAGTTCAGTAGTGGCTTCGGCGGACCTTGAGTTTGGGCTGAGACTAAGCTCATTCCACATTTGGACATCGCTCTGGGGCACAAAACCACTACTACTTCGCTCACTTGTGTGCTGAAATCGATCGACCTCACTGAGTCTAGCATTATCGAGTCTATTCTTGGTGCTGGGTAGTTCTGCTCCAGTTCCTCTGTAGCATCTTTTTTCTTAAGAATCTCCAGTGCTGTGGTGACTCCTCGATGGATGTTCTGTAGTGGAGGTGAGGAAGTTTCTTTCTTTGGATTCGAGGTCGTGTGGTTTGGTGGGATGATGATTTGAGTGAAAATTGGTTCCGCTGCTGGGTCCTCCTTCATCAGGTCCGGAAAGAAGGGGAGTGCATGGAAACTTTGGAGTATGTGGTTGTTTAGGGCTTGTGGGTCTGTGATTGGGGCTGGGCTATCGTTGTTGGCCATCGACTGCCATAGGAGCGGTCCAAATGCTGTCAAAGCTTTGTTGAGGGCTTCCATTGTCACTCTCGCAAGATGCGCCGAGTTCTGCACAATCAACGTGATTCTCTTGTTGTCGAGAGTGAATTCGTATGAAAGGCCTTATCCCTGCAAGGCAACCTCCAACCAGGAGGCCGGTTGGTGGTCCGGTGGTAATGGGTGGGTGGAGATGGTGGTTGGGGTCGGGTCTTTTCCCATTTTTGTGTTTCTTAGCTTTGCTATTTTGGGAAAAGAGTGAAGTGGGGTTAATCGACTGATTTCCCATCATAAAGCTTCCTAATGTCACATCTTGGATAGTGGAAGGGTTGCCTTGTTTTGGGATTAGGGGTTTTGGCTGCTCATTAATTGTGGATGTAACAAAGGTGACCTTGAGGTCTTTTCGGTTGAAGAGGGAGAAGGTTGTAGACAGGGCACTCGATTGCCATATCTGTCGCTTGGGATTTCTCCATTAGAGAAGGTTGCAGTAGCTGTGGTAGGGGAAGCGTAGGCTTTGACCTTTGGGTTGAGTTGTACGTTACCGGTGGAGCCTAAGGCTTCCTGTTCCTTTGATTGCATGCGGACGACCCCATTGGGAACATTGCCTGAGGTGATGATTGGGGCTTCTATAATTGGGCTGGATCCCACTTGTGAGCTGGGCTGGTGGATTGGGTTGGTGGGGTCGTCAGAGTTTGATCCCGCTTTTCTTTTAGAGCCCGTGTTGGGTTGCTCTATTGGACTTGGGTTAGGCACGTGCCTTGTCTATTTTGGTTCATTGGTAGGTTTTAATGTTGGGCCTTGTTGCCTTTTTGAATTTTTTTGAATACTGTTTACTTATTTTTTAACATTGTAGTTAAAAGATTTGGTTTGGAGGAACTTACCTAAAATGGCATCAAACATATTTACCTGGACCTCCTCCGCTTGTGTATTATGGTGTTGTTTCAGTGATTGACCTTCTGTATTTGGGATTGTTTTGTGTTGTCCCTGCTTGCGTCTTCTTGGGCATGTAACTGTCTTCCATTGGCTCTCCTCCGGTGGGGTGTCCGTTGTATGGTGTTCTTGTGATTCGTTGGCTGTTAGTGTTGGACGTTGACTGTATGAACATCTTAGGGTCGTGTGGCCTATCCTACCACAACTGGTGCATAATGTTCCCTCACCTTCATAAATCACTGACTGTTTATGGTCTCCAATGATCACTGATGTTTCCACTGGTGATTCAAGTGGAACTTGGATGCAATGCGTGCATATCTCCCCCTTAGCGTGGAAGAAGTACATTGATCTATCTTTAGTAGTTTACCTAGTTTCCTCCCAACTTTCTCCAGGATGACTGTGTCGTAGAATTCAGTTGGTAGCTGGGGTAATCTTATCCAGATGGCAGTAGTAGTAAGTGTGGCTTCCTGTGGAACAAATTTTGGTTCCCATTTACGGACTGAAAGAAAATGGCCAGATACAAACCATGGGCCAAGATGTAATGCTTTCACCGTGCTTTCCTCTAAGCTGAATTTCACTATGTAGAAGTCCCATCCTAGGTCAATCAAGATTAACTGTTCGGATGGCTTCCATAGGTCAATTAGTTTGGAGCGTAGCATATGATGAGGCATTCTTCTTTTGAAGACCTTGATGATTACTGAGAATTTCCATGGTTTGTATAGTCTTTCTTTTTCTTCCGGTGATAGGGGAATGACCCCTTCAATGTGTTTTCCCTTAATCCCTTCTAGGATTGATTGGTGTTCCATGTCATAGTAGTTAGCTTGGTTGCATTCTTGTTTATCCAAGAGCATTTCCTTATAGGACTGATGAGGTAATTCTATCTCCATCTGGATTTGTTTATCCGGGGGTTCCGGTGGGAGGGGGGGTTTGATCAATGGTAGTTCCATGAAAGCACAGGAGAGTTTCTAGGGAGAGAATGTTAGTTTATTGGTGTGACTTGAACAAAGTCTTGGCGCAACAGAGAGAATCGAATTTGGGCAAAGGAAACTTACAAGCCTACATTTATATAATAAAAGCATGAAACCTCTACACGAAATATAATTAAATTTTTAGCTTTTAAAAATAAAATTCATCTTGAATAAAAGTGCAATGTAAATAATTTAATAATATTTAAGACCTTAAAATTAATTAAAGTTTGCTTATTAAATTTTTTTATTTGAATTATGTAGAAAATTCAAATATTTTGGACTTTCAAATGAATTATATATAAAAAATGACTAAATTAATATATGTACACACTTAATGAATTCAATAAGTTTTTATAGTAATTTGTTCGTCCTATAACTTATGTTCTAATGCCCACGCACGTTTCGATAGAGTTACATAAAATCATAGAAAAAAAAATCTTTTTATTTAACAATTAAAACCTTACTACATGGATAATTTTGAAACATTTGAATGGAGATAAATTGAGAAAACATATGATTCATATTTTTAAAATATGTTATTAGATAAATCTTTATAGAATCAGAATAAAAGTCTATACCTTATTTGTGTCTTCTCGAATGAACTTGAGAATAGCTTTTAAAATAGTTAAAATAATCTTAAATCTTCAAGGGCTATGCATTCTTAGTGAAACTAACAAAAAAATACGATAACTCATGAAATTAAAATGACAAAACTATAAAATTGGAACATAATTAAAGGTGAATATATTGAATAATGTTTGAGAACTTTTGTGAACAAAGTGTTTTCTTTAATTGTATTAGTATAGAGGATTAATAGTAATGTGTGGCTATAATTACATAGTTTCGTACATTATCTGCCTTGCATTTTATATGTTTTAATGATAAATTACACTTTATTTGCGCGTAATGGAGTCCATTTTATGTGTAGGTGAATTGAAGATGATAGTAGAGCAAATGGGATACTTAAACATTTAAAGGGTGCTCGAGAACAGTGAAAAGGTGAAAGCTGGCGACGCCAGGCCTTAAGCAGGCTTTATACCTGGCGAGGCCAGGCGAAGGCCAGCTTAACCGGGCGTTAGCTTGGCGAGGCCAAGCAAAGGCCAGCTTAACCAGGTGTTAGCCTAGTGAGGCCCGGCAAAGGCCAGCTTAACCAGGCGTTAGACCTGGCGAGGCCAGGCAAAGGCCAGCTCCACCAGGCGTTATGCCTGGCGACGCCAGGCTTGAGGCGAGATCCATTCCGAGTTTTGAAGATTTATTTCGTCTCATGGTTTGACTAGGACTTTACCTACACGTTTAGGTCTTTTCCTGCACATATAAATAGACCTAAAAATGCCACTTTGAGGGATGGGAGACAGACGAGAGACCGAGATTGGACATTGAGACCGACATTAGATCGGAGATTCGACATAAGAAGGCAAGAACACATGATCACGCCCAACTATGCCTTATAAAAAGGACAATGCGGTCGTTACAAATATAATCCGGATTAAAGGTCCGGAGTCGAATCCCACAGAGAATTAACCTATCAATTACTTTTGTTGGAATCACTAAATTCTTTATAATCAACTTCCTCAAATGTTGTAAACAATAGTTGATGGTATTTCTACTAACTAAGATTGCAAGTAAATAAATAAACAACTGTAAACTAAATATGTTGGGTTGTAAATAATAATGAGAAGGTTCTAAGGTAGTGATTTTCCCTATTGATGGAATCCCTTCCGGTTATGTTTCAGATAGATTCACCAAAATATCTCTATCAATCACGAGCACTCTTTTTACCGTAAGTCTCTCCCGAGTAATCACGATAATTTACTAGACGCACTCTCCCGAGATATGCTAGCTGACTTTATTTATTACATCTCACTTTAGATTGCACCCAAGGCTTCGTTATCCCCAATCCCGCCTTTAAACCCGCATTTATAGATCCCTCTTATACTTTGGGAGTGGTGTTGTTCAACAATTACCTAAAACTCTCTCTCGAGTTATGCACACTAAATAGGCACAACTAATTGAGGATCCTGTCAATTAACTACAACAAACACGTAGTTGAACAAATAGAGATTAACTGGCAAACTATATTAACATAATCAAGAAGTTCATCCTTCAATAGGTTCCATCAAAACCTTAGACTAATGTATTTAGCAACTCATAAAAATAACAAAAATCACAAAAGAATTCATATTCAAAGGTAAAAGAACAAAGAAGAAGATTAAAGATTGATGCCCAATGATCCTCCTTGCCTCTTGCCCTTCCTTATGATGTTTTTCACTTCCAAAAATCCTTCTCCTTCGCTCTTGGCCGGCCTCCCTCGTTTAATATAGGGTTTAGGGCTTAAAATCTCGTGTTTTGCACTTTAGTCCCTGAAATTTACGCGTCCTGCCGCGGTCCCACTGCGGTTACGCCAGGACCGCGGCCAGAATGGTCCTCTGAATCTTTAGTAATGTTCTGCCGCGGTCCTACCGTAACCGCGGTTTTTCACCCTGTTCCATTTAGAATTTGGAAAAATATAAAACATGAAAGTTGTTTCCTTTGAGTTAGCTTTCCAACCATATATTATGGAGCCCAAATGGAGTTCTGAGCAAAAAGTTATCTCTATTTTACTAGACAGTGCGCAATATGCCTCCTTGAGTCTTCGTTTTGTTGTTTTATCATCCGTTGATCCCCGAATACGATCCCGGCTTAATTCCTTGGGCTTATACTCAGACTTCAAAGCTCCAAATCACTTGAATTCATTCCATAACATCTATATATCTCGGAATCACTCCTACAAGGCATAAAACACACCGTTAGTGCAAAACACTAGCGATTAAAGCGCAAACTCAATTAAAGTGCAGTAAATTAGAGTGTAATAAGCGACTAAAATACGTAATTATAGCCTATCATCAACACCCCACACTTAAACCATTGCTCGTCCTCGAGCAATCAAACTACACTTTTTTATAGACACAACCTTTTTAAACAATTCTCCTAACTCATCACACCAAGAGTATTTAAAATAGACTAACCACAAAAGTGTAACATCTTCACCTCAAGAATTGACTCACAAGTACCACACGTTATTCACAACTCACCCACTTACTCTAATATAGAGGTCACTGACATTACCTTTCCTTCATGAATCAAGTGCCCTCACACAACAAAAGAGAGTAGTTCCACACAATAAAATTTACGAACACTTAGGAACTCAAGATAGAAAGAATTCACTCACTCTCAGAAATAAAATTCATATGCCACAAAAGATGCACCATAAGCTTGCCCGTAGTGTACTACTCCACTGATCGAGCTCATTCAATCTTGAATCAATTAGGACTTTATTTGGTTGTAATGTAGGCTACGGGACGGGTAGGATACATTTAGATATAAGAGTGACTACACCTACTTAAGCACTTTAATACATACATTTTAACATTTAAACCCCATACTTATGTCAAACCAAAATTTCACCTTCACATCAGTGTAAATTACCCCATTATTCTTTAAGCACACTTACGTCAAGAGCCACCACTTATCAAGAATTTTTTTTTTTTCACAACAATCCAACTATATATATTTTTTTCAATTCAAGTGGCTCTTACTTTTTTAAAACAGTGCACCTTTCTCCTTATTCAATTAGTTCCACTCAAAAGCCAAACCAACCACCCCACACTTTAACTTTTACAAAGTTCATAACAATTCAAGTGCTCATGAGAGGTGAAAAGGTTCAAATAGATAATTAATTCAAACAACTGGGTAAGGCTTGTAATGTGGTTGCCAAAGAAAAGGATTATAGGCTCAAAGAGGTTAACTACGATACATAACAATTAGGTGGGTAAAATATACATATCTGGCTCAACAAGAAAACGCCTATATCACTTCCAAGACTGAACAACACTACTATTTCGCTTTGCAAACACACATGGCAAGTTCTAGGCATCAAATGCAATGCACTGAATAATGCAAAACCTTACACACACATGGCACATAACTCGCTCAGGATTGGATTCATAGACACTCTAGTCAAAGCAGTTAAGCAAAGTTAAGATAATACAATTTAAGGTACTTCTACAAGAGTCAAAATTGAGCATAAGCGTCACAACCAAAGTACTCACTATTCTCAAGGCATAACCAAGTCAAGAGATATTGCTTCAATTCAAAGCACAACACAATGGCTCCTATTCCTAAAAAAAACAAACTACACCCGGTTCAAATAAAGCCCTTGGAAAAGAACCGTGGCCTAAAGAAAAACCAAGGGGGAGTTACTACACTACCTAAAACAAAACAAAAAATCTTTTTGGTATTTTCTTTAGACTTACTTCCCTCAAGAAAATTGTCTAAAGGATCCGTCATCAGGAAGAGTCTACATAATTCATTTTTTTATTTTTTTATTCAATTAAACTAACACAATTAAAATATCATAGAAAGTCACCCAGATAATCTCCTCACCCCACACTTAAAATTGTATATTGTCCCCAATGCACACCATACTAATAAGAGGGTAAAAGAAACTCCCTGGTAGGCCAAAGGCCGAAGCACTAGCAGCTCATGGGGTACTCAGGCTTCTCCCAAGCTTGATCCTTTGTGCGGGTACCTCACACTTAGTTCCAACCATTTGGTTTACTGTTGCATCCTTCCAATACCTTTGCTTGCCATGCTCCTAGAAGAAGAAAAAAAAATTGACACACTTTTCTCGCCACTTGGATGATATGAACTGGGCACCTAGCTTGGAATCAAGCTTGTGACCTCGAGCGATCGGGGGTGGTACGTTGATGATCGAGCCAAGCTTTAAGTACTTCATTTTGCACTTCTTGGCTTTCATGTGAGGAACGCCATTATGCCTCCTTGTTCTCTCAAATTGTAAGATGAATGGTTGTTGCCTTTCCTCCTTGCAATCCCTCATTGAGTCGTGTAAATCAATTCCCATATCACCACACAAGTCCAAT